CTGGCGCACAAAACTCTTTTTTATGCTTGGCAAATGACTTTTACGAAAAACCTACAAAGCTATATGAACCACCCAGTGGAAGTATTTCAGACTTTCAAGTATGGTTTACAACAGATGGAAGAAAGAGAATAGTTCCATTATACCATGCGTTTTACTTAGAACTTAGTCTCATATACAACTACTATCGAACGGTAAAAATATAATTTTAATACGGTTGAGGTGTTGGATTTGGTTGCCAACTAGACTGTGGTGCAGGTTCAGGCTGTTGTATAACAGGAGCTTGTTCTTCTGGTTCAGGGTCTTTAGGTATAATACCAACGAACTGACCTACTCTTTTACCAATATTTTTGACTCCGTTCCAAATTCCTCTTCCTACGGTTTTTATTCCATTCCATATACCTCTTCCAACATTTCGAAAGAAGTTTCCAATACTACTGAAGAAACCCATTTTACTATATGTAAAAATCTAATGTCCGCCTAGTCTCTTACGTTTCCTGTTGAGTTCCATAGCATTTTTTAACTGGAGCTCATACATTCTATTTCTCCTCTGGTAGAAAACATACTCTGGGTCAACTCCTGTGTTCGCGTCATCTGCATAGAGTTGTTTATATCCCACTTCAGGGTTTGTATAAAACTCTTTCCATCTCATATTTGCATACCATGGTGGTAAGCCTAACGCAGCGTCATTTGACATGGCAGTTTGCATTTGTACATCTGTTGGCACCTGACCATAGTTTGCCATTGCAGTTTGTATTCTAACTTCATTTGGAATATTCTCTGGGTTTGGTTGTCCAGGTTGCTGTGCATTCGCTAAGTTCTGTGCGTCCATTTTAATATTAGATAAAAATATCTCTTACGAGTACATATGCTGAACATTTGCTGGTATTGGTTCATCTTCATATTCTCTATATCTTTCTGCCACGTCAAATAAGTAAATGACACAATGGAAAAAACCTAAAACAAGTAGTCCTATTTCAAACCACATTTACTTACCAATAAAATTTCTTTGTTGTGACACTTTTTCCGGTTTATAGGACCTCTCTCATATTCTATCTTATCGTATCTAAAATCATACTCATGTATGTCCTCTAACCATCTCATAACACTTTCCAAACCACTTTTATCGGATGTAAAGTAAAAGCATGGATGGTTATGTAAAACGTCTAAAGTTTCTAAAGAGTCTCTCAAAGTCCAGTCTACTTGGTATTGAAAATCGTATGTGTTATAGAACGGCGGGTCTACTATAAAGAAAACATTTTCCTTGTCTTTGTATTTTTCATACAACTCTGTCCAACGACATCTCACAAACTCTATACCCTCAGTATATTTTTCTATGTTCTCTTTGAAAACCTTTGTATAGTTAAGATATAAAACGTTTGACATAAGTGTTTCAATGTCATGAACTCTTATAGAACCACTATACAATAGTCTAGAAGATATACTATCCCAGTCAATATACTCTGCTTTTTTCAAAACCTCTCTGACAGTATTTTTCTTATCTAATGGTATACGTTCCATCTTACCTATAGGTATCTTTCTTTCAACTCACTCAATATTTTGTTTGTGTCTGGTATATGTTTGAGACGGTTCATATAGTTGTCGAAGTCATTGCATATAATCTTTGAGTTTGGGAATACGGTATGGCACAAATGAGATATATAGAAACTTCCACCGAACAAATCTACAAATGTTAGACCATTCGGTAGTTTCTTAAGTTCTCTCAATAGAATATCTTTACATCTACTCTTATTTCCAAAGAAGGGTAACGGTGGTTTTGTAAAATTCATTTTATATTTAATAAAAATGTTTTTACCCTGAAAAGTGACAGAAAAGTGACAAAACATGAAAACTACTCGGTCAAGTACTTGTCGGTTTTGTAAAATAACCGTCCTATCTTGTTAAGACTTCCTGGACTGTTGTCAAAATGTCATGTTGTCTCATTTTTTCAGAGAAGTTCGTTTAACCGAGGGACCGAGGGACCGAGGGACCTGGTGACGTAGCGACGATAGACCCTTACTTGTCCGGACATAGTTCTACTATTTTGAGTCCTCTACCGAAAAGTCAACAGCAACGACTTTCAAAAATTTTTAGGGCTAGAAGGCACGAAGTGCCTGGGAAGCCCGCTATCCCCAAAAAAACCTCATTTTATATAAACTGCATGTTATACTAAACATCTTCAGGGGGCTAGAGGGGCGCAGCCCTGGAAGCCCCAATGCCTTTTTTTTTTTTTTTTTTTTTTTTTTATTATTATTCATATTTTTGATTTTGAATTACGGAAAAAGTGAGTTCAGAACTTCCAATTATTATTTGATTAATTATGTTAAAAATACTATAAGGAATTAAAATACATAATGTTGAAATTTGAATTACGGAAAAAGTGAGGGTGAAAGTGAAGTTAAAAAGTAAGATATTTTTTGTTGAAATAATCATAGTTGTACAATTTTGAAACTATATGTAAAGCTATAAATTGAATAAATTCAAAAACAAAAATTGTTTATTCTTATTAATAAATTTATATTAATCAATATTTGAACAACCCGTAATTAAAATTGAATTCCTCTTAAAATTTAATCCATACGTTAATTTTTAATTTGCTCGGCGAATGCCGAGCTTCCCTACTTCTCTTGTCATTCCTTCAAAAACTCTAATCTCATCGCACTTACAAACATCATGATTTGATGTATTGTCGAGAAATCTTAGACTTGTTTGTCATTTGATTATAGCATTTGAAAGTCATCTCGAAAATCGATTAACAAGACAATTTCCCAAACATCTACATACAAGTAGATGATGGTAAACCCATTAGAGTTGTTTTGCTATGATTCCTCCAATCTTATGATGAGAAAAATCATATCAAAACAGCTCTAATCGAACATTCTACACAGCTTAGCATCCAGCTAGTTCCAAGTAATGCGATTACAACATCAACGGCCAAAGCCTTTCAGAGTCCTTTAATCATTTCTTCTCATCTCAATATGAAGTGGCCCCAAACGAACTACAAGCTGACGTTACAACGCATTACAACCCGGTTAATACGAGCATATACATTAGAGCTGCTTTGTTATGATCTCCCTCATCAATTGATGAGAGATCTCATTATGAAGCAGCTCCAATCGAACTAAAAACCTACATACAAATGAGTGAAAACAAACTCATTAGAGTTGTGTTGCTTTGATTTCTCTCATCAGAAGATGAGAGATACCAGAACAAAACAACTCTAATCAAACTTTCTACACAACTCAGCACAGTATCAATGCAAAGTAATGCGTCTGTATCGTTAACAAGCAAAGTTGTTTCGGGTCCTTCCATTTTGGAAGAATTCGGAACAACTTTGCGAATTGATAGTGTAAACCCATATACATGAAAGCGTGCATGCATAAAGACAGGTATTGTCAGCAATGACTACCTGCCCAGCTATGAGTGATCAGAGAATTACCATCTCAGGCTTTTTGAGAACGTTTCAGCCAGGACCCTCGTATGTTGACTGTGAGAAAGGCATCCTTTATCTGAAATAGATGCTTTTCCAACAATCAAATTCGAAGATCTTCGACGTTGTTGTAAAAAGAGAAGGAGAAGGAAAGAAGAGGAAGGAGAGGAAGAAGGAAAGGAAAAGAAGAAGAAGAAAAAAGAAAAAAAAGAAGGACATATTAAATATAATGCGCACTTAATAGTGCCGAGGCGGCGGAGCCGCCGAGGCGCGATTTTTTTGACCCTATATTACCGCATGGCAATGTTTTTCTCGATTTTGTACAGCCCTACAAATCTAATTCTGGAACAGAAAATAACTAAATTCCATAGAAGAAGATAATTTATTTTCTTTTCTTTCAAATTTTCCAAGTATTTTAAAATGCTGAAATTACTTTAAATTCAATGTTGTGCGAAATGCTGGAAAATAATTTTCACTTATTTTCTTGAATTGTTTACAATACACAAAATTTATAAAATGGTAAAAATTAATTGTTTATATTATTTGCAATAATATCTCTCATTTTGATTAATTATATGGCAGCTTTGGAATGGAATAGGGTTAACTCCCTGGAATATTTAGAGTTCCTTGCACAGTAAATTAAATGTATTGCTTTACTTCTTCTTTCCTTTCCCAAAGGAATGGTCAGGATGATGCTACGATCCCAAACTCGATATTAAGAATTTAAAATTTTGCAGATACAAAAGAAAAATCAGCAAAATTTACACAGAAAAAAAAAAGGTATTGGGGCTTCCAGGCACTTCGTGCCCTCTAGCCCCGAAGATGTTTAGTATAAAGCCGCTTTTTAACTTCACTTAAAATGCCACGTAAGATACGTAAGAATATACGTAAGAGGAAGAGAGCATTGAAACATCCAATAGTAAGACTGACACCACAACAACAGTTGCAACAACAAATGCTGAATGACCCCACTATGTTGCAACAAATGTCAAACAATCCTATGCTCTTAAACCGAGTTCTTGGTGCACAAAGTGGAGGTTTAAGAGCGGCACTTTTAGCGAAAATGGCAGGCTATGGTGGAGCTGCAGACGGAACAGCATATAACCCTCAAAGTCAAATGAATTTGAGTTCACTCAAAAATCAAATAGCAGATGTCAAAAAGTCAAACATAGACATACAGAAGCAAATAAGTGAAAACGAAAAGAAACTAGAATATGACAGACACACAAAGAAACTCAATGAGTTAAACGTAGAGAAAAAGAAGAAAGAAGAACAACTGAAAGAACTAAGTACAGAGGAATATGCGAAAAAAGTGTCAGAAAAAGCAGCAGAAGTAGCAAAAATGGAACAAGATGTCATAAATTTGAAAAACCATACTACTCGATATAAAGTACTGAAAGATGAAGAGATAAAACAAAAAGCCCTGAAGACATATATGGATAGCGATGAGTATAAAAAAGAAGTTGAAGCAACTGTAAAGGCAGAAAAACTTTTACAGTTGCAAAACCAAACCGTACAGTATGAAAACTTAGCACAAGAAAGTAAAAATAACGATGCAGCCATGCAAAAGGCAATGAAAAGCGCAGAATATATAAAAGCTAACAATGACTGGTTAGATGCCCAAGCCAACGCTAAAGCAGCCCAACTCATAGGGTCAATAAGGACAAAAATACAAGCGGATGAAGACAGTTCAAATGAAGCTTTAACGAATGCTGACTTTAAGAACGCCTTCGAAGCTCTTCATAGTAAGGTGAAACAAGTGAACGATTTCTCATCTGGAAAGAAACTGAAGTCTGAAGGTTTCGACAAAGAGTTAAAAGAAGTAGCACAAAATATGACGAAAATAACAGATACAGCAACGAGACAGGCAGTTCAAAGTGCCTATGACGCCGTTAGAGCAACTGTTGTGAAAAGTCAAGAAAAAGAGTTACAACAGACCAAAACAGACCTAGTAAATGCTTTCTTAAAAACGAAAAGTCAGGTAGGACATTACGCTGCAGATGGAACATATGTGCCAGCTGGTGGAACTTATATACCACCAAACCCTCCAAGAGAAGCACCTGCACCAGGACTACCTAAAACATTTACATCGTCACATGGACATAGACACAGGCATGCACCAAAACCAACACAACAACCAACAGTTCAAAACCCTGCACAACAACAACAACAACCAACACAACAACCAACAGTTCAAAATCCAGCACAACCAACAGTTCAAAACCCTGCACAACAACAACCACAAACAGAGCAAGGACATAAAAGAAGTAGAGAACAAGGAAACCAAGAATTCTTAAAAATGCTTAAAGAAGAGTGTGGTTTCCCAGATACTGTTGACTTTAGTGACAGATATAAAGAAGCTATTGGAAAGTTCAAGGATGGAAATACTGACCCGAACCTATTTAGCTTTATGGCTCAGCACCAAAACGGATATAATCTCAAACCTGGAAAATACAAGCTCGCTAAGGGATATGATTTAATAGCATATCATCCAAATGACATGGATGAATTTACTCCGAGATATTTGATGTCAGAGCTAAATGACAATTCAACTTTCGTCATGAAACGCGTAAAAAATAGAGACGGAACGAAAGAACAAAAGCTTATGAATGCGGATGACGTAGATAGGGAAATTGTTGAAAACGGTCTCGGAATATATGAAATGCCACCAGATGAGGTACAAGAAACTCCACAGGAAGAACTAGTTCAGATACAACCAGACATGGAAGAAATAGTTCAGCAACAACAGCTAGAAGAGCCTGAAGGAAACGAACAAGTCACTCCTTTGGAAACTAACTTCACAGAACTAGATGAAGATTTGGAACAGCCGAAAAATCTTGACCCTCAACAAGTGTATGCGGAGAATATGGAATATTTCCAAGAGTCTAAAAAAATTCGGCTGACATAGTAGAAGAATATCGAAAAATGTTTGCCGACATACAAAAGACTCCAACACCAGATGAAAATATTCGGCATAGAATGGAAGCACTGAAAGAAAATGTACACAAATACAACAACCCTTTTTACTTACGAGCATTTAACGTTCAATCTTTGGATGAACTCGGTGAAGATAAAAGGTTAAATTTCAAGAAAACATATAGAAATGAAACATTGTTTAAAGTTCATTCAGAACCTAACCAAGATGGAAACAAACCTACTTTGTTTCTGCAGACGATGGAACTACAATGAGATGGGGTCATAAAGCTAATCCGGATAGGTGGTTCATAAACTTACAACCACAATTCCAAGAAGTTGTAGACGCAATGGAATTGAATGGTGAACGAGATATAGCTGGTATTTAAGCGCGGCTTTAATGCCATTGAAAGATATGAAAGATGCAGATATTTTGAACCAGTATGAAATGAACATGGCTGATGGAAACATAACACCTGACGTTCTAGAACATTTATCTCAAAGAACTACACAGAACCATAGAGATGGTATATTTGGTGAAGATTTAGAAAGAAAGTTAGGAGGAGAAGGAAGAGAACCTATTGTACATGACCTTGCAAACGAAAGTTTGCAAAATGTCATAAAAACTTACTTTGCAGACAATGAACTGAGAAGGATGAATATTTAAGAAAACTCAAATGGACAGTACCAAATGAAATGTTAGTATTGAAAAACATGTTCCTTGACAAAATAAAACCAACTACAGAAATAAACGACGCAAGACTGAAACATTGGGTAAAAGCTTTCCCATTCACAAAAGATATTGTTGGTAACATGGAAAGAAACCAGAATGGCTACAAAAACATATATTTGGAAACGAGCTTATTCCATATGGACAGGCACTGTTTGAAGAGCTTGAACCGGAAACTCAGGACAGAGTCATGCAAACAATACGCAAAGACTCAAATACAAACTATGACAAACTCTTTCTAGGATATAGGTTACCTGAGATGGGCGACCAGAGCCCAAAGGCAAAAAGGACATGGGAAATTTACAACATACTAGGTGAACATGAGCAAAGATGCAACAACTTGAAGCAGAGGGCAAGTTACCAAAAGCGACACCAAAGAAGAAGAGAAGAGTAGAACAAAGTGAAAGTAGTGAAGAAGTAACTTCATCTAGTGAAAGTAGTGGCAATGAAGGAAAAAGAAGAGTTAAAAACTCAGTCAGGAAGAAAGTAAAGCTTGGTCGGAGTGGGTTCTATTATGACATATAAATCCAACTATTCTATATTTTTACCCATATGAAATGTACGCCGCTCAGAATATAACGCCAACAGTTTTGGATGCCATGAATGGAAATGTTTCCGAATGGTATAACGAATGCGACAATGCCATTAGAAGGTCAGAAATAGTTCCTGGAACTTACGAATATACAACTGCTGTTTCTTATGGAAACGTAGGTGAGTTTGGAGAAGGTTCTTCAACAACAGTAGATATTGCTTGCGACAGGTTTCATATTATTTCTATTGACAACTCATTCTTATACGTGGAACAAGACATTGAAATAAAACCTTCTGCCAAGTTGTCTGACAAGAAAGGTTGCAATGGAATTTTCTATGTCGGATACCAATATGCTCCAGAAGTTTTCATGGGATATAAGATATATTCTAACTCTGACTTAGTTCAAACAGTAACATGGGCAAACTATGAATGGTTCGCTTTGAGAAACTCAGTACAAACCACAAGCTAGAGAACAAACAGACCAGTATGCAACCTATTGAGAAAATAAGAAGACTTGACCCTAACGTTCCAGGAGTTTATGTTAACCTTTCTGGACAAACTGCAGCAGCAGTAACCAAAGTAAAATTGAAACTTAGAGTTCCTTTGTCATCTTTCCTCATCTTCAGGTTTTTAAGATACTTGCCAAACTGGGCAGGAAAATTTCTATCGAACTTACTCCAAGCAAAAATAACTTAGTCATTGCACCAACACAAGACCCATTCACTCTTACAGACGTAAAGGGAGCAAATCAAACGTCATTCGCCGAATTTTGCAAAGACAAAGTTGACTTAGACTTTGGTTTCTCAAACCTCAACACTGAAGTAAACTACTACTTCAATGCTGCTGGAACTGCTTGGGACCCAGTTTAACAGTTCACATGCGAAAAAGTTTGAATGCAAGAGAATAGAAAAGCAGACTTGCAGTCTATATGTTGGACCCAGATATTTCAAATGCTTTAGCTGCCAAATATATTGCAGTTCCACTTATGTTCCCTATACACCAAATATCTGTCAAAGACTTTGCAGGTGAAGTTGGAAACCAAAGTGCTGACCCAGGTGCAAGAACAGATATTGCTTTAACAACTGCAATGAAACATGCAGATACTATGTTTGTACTGTTCAGACGAACTATAAATGACTATTCTTGCTTCTACAACCCTGGTATTAAATACCATATAAACATAGATGGCAAATACTATCCAAGAGAAGAATATTCTACAGTTGAGGATATGAGGTCATACAACTTGACATTAGATGCTATGAACTTTAACAACAACTTCACAACAACCATTAACCCTGAAATGCAAAGTTCTATTATGCCATATGTGAAAGTATGGACTCATGCAGGAGGTCAAAAAACTCAATATACAAATGGAGACCGTTCAAACTTTTGGCTTGGCATTCCATTTGCTGACTCAGAAGACTTTATGGGTGGTATTTCAACTGTTGGTACAGTTCAAATACAATATACTGGTGACAGAGACGGTCCAGATGAATTGAAAGCAAAGAAGTTTACAAAACCAATAGCACTTTTTCACGGAAGATGCTCTTTTGAAGATTCGTTCGATGAAACCTGCTGGGGCTCCTCAGATTGGTATAACGACAGCTTCCATCGAGCAGATTTTGGCAGCAGGTCAGTAAGTTGTTCTTGAACTGACTTCTCTCCGTCAAATATTGACAGTACGCCAGTTTTGATATAATATTGTATTATAAACTTACCTTTAGAAATATCGGTCAGTTTTGTTGTTATATTTTTGTCAACGTCAAGAACTTTCAACCATCTCGGTTATACCATCTTTCTTTGCTTTATGAAAATATTTTTGGTTCAGCAAAGACTGCTATTCTATAACATTTTCCATTGTTTGTATAAAGAACTATTCTATCAATGAACTTGTATTGTTTGTGTGTGTAAACTTTGTTTTGCTTCAATTCGAAGAGATACTCAAATACGTCCATCTTTTTTATTCTAAGTAAAATGTCATTTCCGAAAAATAGAAGCGTAAGTGTTTTCAAAAGGTTTAATGGCGATGGCAGATGTGAAGTTAAATTCACCAACTCAAACAAACAGTCAAAGTGTTGTTGTCAATGTCAAAGACAGAGATGTTGAAGTGGGGAAACCATACGAAGACGAAGATGGTATAACAATAGTTTCCTGTAAAAGAACAACCAACATACCCTGAAGTTAGCAGAGACTTAAGTTCTGTTGCAGATATTCGAACGACTACCAACAACTGAAAGACAAACTTAAAACTCAGGAGAAGATTTGTCAGGCTTTGGGTATAATGTTAAACTTGGTTGAGCACAACCCTGTAAAAGTGAACTCATATGTCATCGCACCTCATGAAATTTTGAAAAACTATTGAAACTTTTGACAGAGGCAGACGATATAAACATCAAAGAAATAGAACCCGACATTGCTTGCTGTGGTGTTTCATACAATGTCATTGACAAGATATACGTTATGAAAGGAGGTGAAAACGTTGAACTTAAAATATAGTTTCCCAACGTCATAAAAATATTTGACGACCACAACATTTCATTAAAGTTTGTTTGCTAAGTAAAAATGGCAGAAGACATAGTGGTTTATACTATTACGACTAAAAACCCTGAGTCATATAATTCTATAACAACAAAACTTACAAAGTCCTCAAGGACGATATTGTAAACTGACCTTAAACACGATGACGACTAAAGCCTGTTTTGCTCTTTGACACCAGAAGACTTTGTTGTTGTGAATGGTAAAAAAATACTTCTTTGAAGATACTTACTCAGATATACCACCAACAGGTTTTGTTACTTATTTAATACTTTAGGACGGATGTAACATGTGCTGCAACTAGAGCAGGTTCATTATGTTTTGGATGTCCGACTGAGTTTAGTATAAACGATATGAGCTATAATACAAAACTTATATCTGGTTTTTTACTACCAACAGTTTCCTATAACAGGAAAGGTGTCATACAAGGAATGTCTGTTCCATTGACTTTAAGTACACCTATTTTATATATTGTTTCAAACTTAGGTTCAAAGTGCTATTCGAATGTCGACAGAAACTACTATGACCAAAAGATACTCATGCGTATAAACAACACTTTCTCTGCTGGTTTGCCTATTGTTCATTCGAATGCAGAGTTTTCAGCTTTAGTAAACTCAAACACTTTAGCAAACATAAACTTAACCTTAGTTGACGCAAACTTTGTTCCTGTAAAACTTTTATGTCCTATGTATTTGTCAATGACGGCAGAAAGTTTCGAATTGGAAGATGCAACTGGTGAAAGTATTGTACTACAAGAACAAACTTCAACAAAAATAGCTCAAGAACAACAAATGCAACAAATGGAACAAATGCAACAACAAATAGCTCAAGAATAAAAAAAATATTTTTTTTTATTTTTATATAAAAAAATGTACAGAATAGACGTTTCAGATTTTTATGACTTCCAAGCGTTCAGAAATATGTGTCCATTTCGAGACTATAACAAAGCAGTCGAGAATTTGAAACGTTTAGTCATTTATGTCGACTCTGCCCC